GCACACAGCAGGGCTAAAAGAGTTGTAGTCTCTGTTAGTCCTCACCTCGGAGTTCTTAAATCTTTGTCTCAGCTTGTTGCCCACAGATCATTAGAGTCTACAGACCCAGCAGTGTTTACGTCTGTTTAAGTCTCACTTCTGACTTTTTTTGTATCTTTTGTTACTTGATTCTTGTCATTTTGTGAGCAGTTGCTACCTCTCGAAACAGTGTCTCTGGTGCATATGTGTGTTGGGTGTGTATATGTCTGTGTTTGCCCACACTGTACACTGCCTTGGCTCTAATGAGGAGCTAATTAACCGGGTGTTACCCCCGGTGCCCTGAACAGGTGGCTGGAGCAGCCAGGCGGAACTCAGCCCAAACACACAGACACAGACACACACCATACACACCGGCGCACACACATGATGGCAGGAGCCCATATAGCAGAGCCTGTTTGGCCAGGCGAGGAGGACAACCAAGGGGGGCTGCAGCAGGTCTGGACTGTGGCCTGGGCCAAGAGGGGAGAGGTGGTGGTGGGAGAGCGGCCCTCCAATTTTCAAGGACCAATTTTAGCCATGGGATTTGGGTTTTGCGCAGGCATCCAAAATCAATTGGCTGTGCTTACCGGCTTGGCTTTGGTCGAGCTGAAGGAAAAATGAGGTTAGATTTATCCCTGACATATGGAGGGAAACAGAGAGGCAGTGGACTCCACAAACACACTTGCATTTTATTTGTTGAGCGCAGTCTTCACGGGCCAATTTGTCATAGCACACTTGACAGACCAGTATGTGAGCTTGTTCAGAGCACATTTAGTTGTAGAGGCACCTGTTATGAATGAGGGAATAGTACATTGAGGTGTTTTTCTGTCAGTACCTTTCCTGACATATTCCCTATTGTTTCCTGTACAGAAAGAAGTAAACACCACACAGATCACAACCAGAGATGTGTGCAAACTGTGTAGAGGACTAGATAAAAACAAGACATTTACTCTCGCAGTTATTCCCCATAAATTTTCATTTGGCTCTGTTCATTTTTATGACAAAATGGTGCAACTATTCTCTACTCTAATATTTTCCTAGGGGTTTCTTGCTCCTCTCCCTCCATCCCCCCCACTTTTTTGTCTCAGCATCCTCCTGTTTGCCAAGCCTGTAACTTGTGTTTGTTGTTTGATTTCCACGACAACATGAGGAACCAGATTTATGCATCCTTGAATTGGACAGTGACCCATAAAGGAGCCACGCTCACTGGAGGATCACAATTTCTTCGCTGACTTTCCACCACACACAGAATATCTGTTTTTTTTTCCTCCAACAGATAGAAATTAGTGAGTGTTTTTGCGGAGCACTAGTGAGCTTTGATGTGTTAATGAATTGAAAAATGGCCTTCAACAGTGTTCAGTTATCCCCGCTGAGCCTAATTTGAGTGAGGGGGTGCTGCAGTGGTGGGGGGTGGCAGGTTGGGGGGAAGTGGGGTGTCAGCGTGTGTGTGTGTGTGTGTGTGCGCGCACAAGCACTTCAAAACAAGCCCATAAACATTCCAGGATCTTTGGGCAGCTGCAGCTCCGAGCTGAAGTTAACTGCACACAGCATGTACACCATAGAAAACACACACAAGTACACATACACACCTACTTGTGGCCATCAGTGCTTTTTGCTTATTTATTTTGCTCCGTCATTAACCTTAGATCACATTTTCATTCAGGTTTTTCTTGTTTCTAAGTCAGATACTAAACTATTATTTCTGACAGACACTAATTCTCTGTCCATCAAAACAACTATGGCTGTTGTTAAAGACATTCCCAGCCTTCACTGCTACACATGCTAAATCATTTAAAGGTTAAATTCTGGAGATTTCTTTACATTTTCCACACTTGAACATATCCTCTCTTACTTCAAACTTTGTTGGCTGATCTTGTTGCACAGCAGTAAATCGAGAAGATGCCATAAGAGGGCCGTCATTACTTCAGCTGGAGAGAAAATGTGATCCATCGCTTTCATGTTCTGCTACAAGGTGTTAATGGACACAAGTGCTCACAGCTGTGTGTGTGTTTGAGACGCTTGATCATAATCACAGTCCCCCACCTCGCTCTCTCCCCAGCAGCTCCAGCAACTCACCGGAGCTGGTGTGTTCTTTGTCACATTCCCCTCAGAAGAAGTTGGACAGGCTGCTTAGTTGTTCACATGTACACACAAGATGCAGGCGCAGCAACACACACGCAGAGAGAGAGAGAACCAATTACAATGTCAGTATGTTATCAATTTGGTGTATTTTTTCAGTTTAAACTGGGGCTATATCACTAAAGATAAAATGTTTTGAACTTGCTCAATTTCTAAGTTTCCCTGAGTGTCCTGCCATCCTAACACTTCCTATATATCTCCTTTGGACACTTTTCTAGGGTCAAAGGTCAATCCTCATCTTGGGCTTACCAGTTGATGAGAGCACACCACAATATTCAGCAGTGTCACTACACAAACAGTGCTGCCTCGATATGGATCCATACATGAAACAGCATTTCATTAACTGCAGAATTCCATACAAATTGGGCCACATAATAACCAGATGGAATTGGGAAACAGTCTGGGAATGCGCTCCCCCTTTTTTTCCAGGGTCTGCAACCAGGGAAAACTGGGCCTCTTTCCCAACCTGGTGCCAGGCGTCCCTCTCAGTGTGGATGGAGATTCATGTTGTTCACTGCTCACATAGTAATTATTGCTTCACTTATGTATTGAAGTGATTCTCCCTCTGCGAAAGAGTCATTAACAGTCATTTTTGATCAGCTGCAAAGAGCTCATTTAACACTACACAGAACATTGAGCTCAATGTAACTGCAGAACTGACCTTGGCTGTGGCAGCAATTCATGTGTAAGCCAGTGATGTTTAGGAAAGAAACTATTTAAACTGGTCACCTTTTCTGCAGCATTGTTTGGGTCAGTTGATCTCATGAAAGTACTTTTAAAAAATTAAATAAACGTGAACGTCCTGACAACACAAATATGACCAAGATTTCAAGGTCCAGTGTGTAGGACTTAATGGCATTTAGTGGTCAACTCCATTGCTCCACCCTCCCCTTCCAACCACGAAGGAGAAACAAAGGTGTCCGTGAAACACTAAAAAAATGTAAACCCCCCTATCTAGAGCCAGTGTTTTGGTTGTCACTTCTGGGCTACTGTAGAAACATGGTGGTTCAACATGGCAGACTCTATGGAAGGCGACCCGCAGCATCTGTAGATATTGAAACACAACGATTCTTATTTTCAGGTGATTATACACTAACAAAACCATACCTATGAGTATTATGTTCCATTTCCGCCAATAGAGCCTCCTAAATGTTACAGACTGGACCTTTAAGGGGTATCGTAGTATGGCTGACATATTCTTATTCACAGATTTATACCACCTACATGTCTAAAGTGACAGCCAGCGGGCGCCTAGCTTAACCTATTATAAAGACTGGAATCAGGAGGAAACAACTATCCTGGATCTGTCCAAAGATAACGAAATCCATCTACTAAGACCTATAAAGCTCTTAAATTAACACTTTGTATCATTTTTGTTTAATCAGTACAAAAACTGCACTGTAAAAACAACATTTGATACAATACAAACTAAACCTCCGCTCTACATCTTCATACAGAAAAAGTGGAATAAGCATATTCTCAAAATTGTCAAACTACTCCTTTAATAAAGGTATGTAGCAAAATAGAAAATAAAGCCATCAAGTTGCTTATCACCACTACAAATTTGAGCATTGTTAGAGCCAAGGTATACTCAATCTAGTTCTCCAAAAGAAATAGTAGTGTCAAGAATGAAAACAAGAGAGCAAGAGAGAGAAGTTCAAACCCTGGCTCCTTTCTCACCTCTGCACAGCTGGCCAATGGTGTGAAGTGTGTGTGACTGTAGGATGGTCGGTCTCGGAAGGCTCCAGAAATGGTTTCTGTAACTGCCTACTCACCAGTCACTCTATTGCACACAAAGCCACACAGACACGAACATAAAAGCCTCCCAGTCTCTCAGCCAGTCTGTTTACTTATTCCCCATTGTTGTGTCTTTTTTTTACTCCAAACATCCATTGTTAGTGTATTTTTCTCAAACACCAGATTAAAATTAATTAATATCACCTTCTGTTGTGATCCCCTAATAATCCCCCTTTGCCATAACTGTTGACGTTTTTGGTCAAACAGCTCTGCTGTTGTTTACCCCTTTCTAATTTATCTGCGGGTAACTTTGAACTGGAACTAAGCTCCATAGCAATTGTCTTTGAAGCCATGGCCAAGTCTTCAGGTCCCAGGTCTGACTCTGATTTAACCAGCAGAGGGTCTGGATCAAACTCTGTTACACAAACAAGAAGGGCAGGTTTCTCATTAGGCTTCTCAACTGCAAACCCCACATGTAGAGATTGAACAGATTTTATGAATAATGTCAGAGCTGGTGAGGGTGGTCTAATACGGAGGAATCGATGGAAAAACTTGTGAGGCGAAGAGGCATAAAGGAATCAGCTGGATTTCAAGTGGAACTGGGAGAGACTGTGAAGACATATAACATCACTTCACATGTCCCATATATTGTGACTCGCCTCATTTAGAAGACAGCTAGCTCGAGCCCATTCCTTTATCTGAATCAGCCATGCTTTTAATAGATCTTAGGAGTCTTTACTCATCAGTGATTCATGAAATTAATGTCTCTCTATCCAGTGATTAATAGTTAATGGACTGAGAGAAGCCGAATTCATTAATTATGAAATGGAGAAAATGAGCTCTGCAAATATCACTTTTGATTGATGAGTTCTAGAATAGCTGCCAAGCACACAGCCGCAGTGTAGATTATAAACCACTCACTACTGCCTTACTGGAAAATCTCTCCCTGCTCTCTTGTGATATGCATGGTAGTAAGCATATGTTTTACTGCAATGCGGACTCTCAACTTACACTGTAAACTATTGTAAACTTTTATATTCATCCTACTCACGTTTGCTCGTGCATTCACAGAACTGACAATGTTAAATTTCCTCTTCCCTCCGCAGCGTGTAACTGCAACCTGCATGCCCGTCGCTGTCGATTCAACATGGAGTTGTATAAGCTGTCGGGGAGGAAGAGCGGAGGGGTCTGCATGAACTGCCGCCACAACACTGCAGGCCGCCACTGCCACTACTGCAAGGAGGGCTTTTACAGAGACATGGCCAGGCCGATCACTCACCGACGAGCCTGCAAAGGTAAAGAGTCCAAGAGTTTCTTTATTTGTTTGTTTCATAATTGTGGCAATCAAGCAGCAACTCTGGTTTATGTTTCCTTGTATTTTCTGTTGATAAGGTTTAGGGGCTCTAGGTGGAACTCATATCTTTCTCTCTCCAAACATGGTGGGTGAGCACTTCTCATTCAGCACTAAATACCCAGTTTTTCATCTGCTGTCAGAAACATAAAACACAAGTATTTTTTCTAGGAAATAATCACCAACCACTCTATGTTTACAAGAACTAATGTGAAAGTTTTTATGAACAAGGATCACTTTTGTGTTATATCAGTCAGTAATAGAGTAGCAAAATGACTATTTATTTATATGAAAATGTCACAGATTATTATTTTAAGTTCAGTTTGACTTTTCATTTGGCAATATGCTGCACTAAATGTTTACAAAATGTTCAAACAAAAGCTGATTGAGATGTTCTAACCCTACTAATACTTGTGTAATCATGTCATTTCTAAAAAAGTTTCAAACGAGCAAGTTATGATTAGAAACATGCATGGTCATGGTAACTTTCAATAAAAAATATCAGCACGTCTGACTTGTCATACTATAGCAAAGAGAAACAAATTGATACTATGCTCGAAGCTTTTCTGGCTATCCCACCAAATGTTTCCCCATACCACACACCACATAATATTATCACTTGACCAGGGAAATTCTCATGGAAACATGTATTTTACCCCTTTATTATTTCACATTTGCAGTGAATATTTTTCAGCCTGATATTATTTCTCTCCTCTTGCTGGACTCATTGCAAAAATAACACCAGTTTCCTGTACTTGTTGCTCAGGAAAATATTCAAATCAATAGCAGAGAGGGAGTTTTGTTTCTGTTGATCCTGATGAAGGTAAAGAATCACTTCCAGAACATTAAAAAACAGCCTTGGTGAGAGCTGCCAACGTTCATAGCCGTGAAGATCTTTTGGTTGAAATTTCATGGCGAGAATCTCCCACTGGCTTCCGCTCAGTTTTCCTTCTGCAGCCGACCCAAGCTGTAACTGAACACCAGGAGGTTAGAAATGGCATGATATTAGTTGCGCTGAGATGTCGAACCATTCATCATATAATGGCAAAAACTCCACAGTGACTTGGTCACATACCTTAAAACTTAAGTAATCTGACCTGTTCCTGCACCAAAACACTGACAGAAAGAGATCTGCCTCAGTCCTTAGATGTGTGTTCCCTGTGTGCAAATTGTTCCCTCATCTTCCATTTCCTGCAATACCTGGGAGTGTGACATTCTTACACACACTCAAGCGTCTTGACACTACAATTTATCCTTATCAAAGCCTAATGATCAGGTGGTAAACAGTTTATCTGCCTCCCTCACAAAGGCCCCAGATGTGACGGAAATGAAAGTTAACGTCCGAAAAGCCTCTGCTGAGCCGCGGGCTCTGTGATTGATCAGAGCAATTCCACAGCCTTCTAGGAGCCGTCATTTTCCTTTGCCTCAGCCTTTGCTCACTTTTTTCATCTCCATCTCCCATGAACTCTCATCTCTTACTCCTCCCAAACTTTTGATTACTCTCTCTACAACTACAAGCCTTTAAAACCTCTGTCGGTCTCTTTTTCTTTCACTGTGGTATCCTGATTTAATTTTTCAGACCAGATTTTTGCTCTCCTTCATGTTTTATCTCCATGTGTCAAGGTCAAGATAGAGGCCAGAGGTCAGGGATTTGTTTTCTAAATCAAGGCTGGAGTGGGGAGGGCTGGGGGCAGGGCAGGCTCTGAAAAGAAAAATAGGCCGTATATGTTTCTAAAAAGACCGGCTCTGTAGATGGGTGTCTATGCACAATCGGAGGGTTATATGAAGAGAATTAACCACCTTTCTCCTCTCACCACCACCACCACTTACTTCATAGATACACAAAACACATACTCTGTCTTCCTTGTTAAGTATTAAAGTCCCTATGCAAAATGAATCTGCAGAGATCCAGATCTACAGTTCAAATGCCCAGGCACCGGCCTCTCCAGGAGCCCTTTATAGTGTCACAAGCATTAAAACAGTCAAAAGGAAAGAAACGTGGCAGTCACCACATGGCCTGGCTGAAGTATATGAGGTCTTCAAAATACGGTTTTTATGTCCAATCCAAGCCGTACAGCTGGTATCCGTTGACCACAAGGAACATTGATAAAAGGCATTGAAAATGAGGCCATAGTCCATGTGAAGCAACGGCGGCCAACATAAACCACACTGGCTGTTTGTCTCAAATATCTTTGCTGTCAGAAAATACTGTTGACAGAAAAAGTATTACGCAATCTAATTCTAAAAGTAATTTTAATTACTAATATAAGACCAGGCAGCATGACAATTTGATTCTTTAGGGGGAAAAAAACACAATTTGTTTGTATCATTAGTCAAGTTTAGTCATTACCTGTAAACATGAATATAGTAAGCCAGAGAATCAGATGACACTAAGAGCTTATCAGTCGTTCAACATAAAATTTTATTACCTTAAATGCTAAATTATTGCTAATAAAGAATTATTTCCCTCAATTTAATAATTTGTGTTCGCAGATTAATCATTTGTGCATACAAATTACTCAATCCAATCCTTCGATTTAATTATTATAATTATTTGGACTTGATAATATTATAATATTATCTATTTTGTCTCAACACCTCTTTTAGAGGGCAGTGAACGCCTTTATCACAGTGCATTCGGTCAAGCAGAGGTTTTTAAAAGACATTTATGAAGTGCTCCAGAACCCTGAAGCCAAGTTTTTCTTAACTGAATGACAGACCCAGTTTTTACAGCAACACAATTGGTCATCCTGTAAAATACATTTTAATATACATAACATAAGACAGTGTTGTGTTTAATATCCAAGGGTACACAAAGGACAAGACTAGTGCCATGAAGGTATAAGTTATGCTTAATTAAGAGCACCAATTATTAATTCGAGAGCACAAATGACTAAATCATGTGCACAAATTATTTTTTTTCTCTATGGCACTCCCCAGGCTCTGTAGAAATTTTAACATTTGTATTCATTTTCACAATTAAATAGCCAGTAGAACATAACTAAATGTTAAAATGATATTTTTTCAACCAAGGGTACAAATAACACCACCCTCTCCAAATGTGGCGACTGCCAATAACTGCAGACGAAGAGCAGTCCTTGCAAGTACTTTAGCCCATATGCACACACACATGCATTGAGCAACATGAATCAGTTAAACAGAGCAAACGCCTGTCAAAGGACTACAAATCCCAACACAGTGCCTGTCACGTCTGCAGGCGCAAAGGCTTGAAAAGTCATCAACCTCTGAGGACATTTTTACTGCTTCTTAACTGGCCCGAGAGCCCCTGCACATAAAACTTCAGAAAAACAGTTCCCCATCCTGCCTCTTACAGCCCATTCAGATCTGGCAATTGCTGGTTGTTTACTGAACAGTGTGGACATTGGCAGTAAACTCTGATGTCTTAACAGCTTATGATTGTTTAGAAGGGAAGTGAGAATGTCTAACATTATTCACATCGTGTTCATACTGACTGGATTGCGTTGATGGCTTGTGCTGTTCAGTGATCGGCTGCGAAACAATGGCCACATGTCTCAGCAGGCATGACAGACCAACTCCAGACTTGTATCAGACAGATCAAATGGCAGAGGGTTTATCCCACATGGGCATTGGACGCATCATTTCACAGGCAAGAATAAACCTCAGATCCTTGTAGATATTTTATTTTGATAAAACTAGCTTGTTTATGGCAGTTGAAACTCAAAACAATTACTCGATCATGAGCTTAGCACGGAAATGTTCATCTTTGCAAATGATACAAGATCCAAGGCTTCACATCAGTGCATTAATCAGCTGGGTTTCATTAGCACGTCGAAGGGCACAAAATCCAGGAATGCCAGAGATTCTCAAACAGTCCGTAGACAATGTAGTACACTTGTAACAGTGGCAGGAGCTCTGGCTCTAGCTGATGAATGCGGTGGGAAATAGAGGTGAGGATATAGGTTACGTTATGGGTTGGCACAGACCAACAGACAGTTCAGGGACCCTTGTTGACTTGACCTCTGACACCTAACTCGGCCATATGCAGATGTGTATTCCCTATAGATCGGTCAAAAACTCTTACCAAGTGTCATCAAAGCTTGAAAGCCCTGGTTGGGCCTGCGTGACTTAAATGGTGAGGATTTTGCACGGACTCTGAAGCATCAGATTTACGTCTTTGTGCACAGCTTCAAACAGAACGCAACCACTTTGACACCTGTGGACCGGTTGGCCTTGCCGGAAAAGGCAAACATGTTTTTGAAGATTTGAGCTGCAGTTAATCCCTCCCAACCCTGCCGCCAGACACACACAATCACTCTTGGGTCAGTTTCAGACACTGAAACCCTCCCTTTGCCCAGTCAACAGGTGGTAGGGTCCTCAGACTCCCCTCTGTTGTAGCAGCTAAAAAATGTCCGGCACAAATAAACACATTCACAGTTCCGTGGAGTGGTGGGAAGAAGCCGTGGCATGTTAGCAGCTGCCTTTCTCTGGCAAGCCCTGTAACAAACTGTTGGGTTACAGGGTTTTTCCCCAAAGTGTATAATATTGGCCTTTCTTGTTTTTTCTTGATAAGCTTGGACAATTACAGCTATCGTGTTACAGTCGAGTCACTCTTAAGTTTGCTTTAGTAATTTTGCACTAGCCTGCGCCTGTTTTCCAAAGATTTACATTAAAAAAAAGAAGAAAAGGCTGAATGTTCACCTTGCATTTCATGGTTTGTTGTGTTTTGGTGCAGCATGTCAGTAGATAAGGCTGGAAAAGAAACTTTGTGTACTCTTAAGTTATTTTATTCTGGACAGAGAATGTCAATTTTGAACTGAGACCAATTGTTAACACCCCTGAAGACTGCTCAAGAAGATGCAAAAGTCTTACATTTGTTTTGATATGTCACTGATGTGTTTGTCTGACTGGATTGCTGTGAAATGTTAAGTATGTGTTTATTACTTAAAGAACAAATGTCTGTTTTTTTAGTAGAGTTGGAGTAGCCACAGTTTGGTTAGATTCACAGTTGTTTATGCTGCTGAGCACACCAGAGGCTCTGTGTGTACTATACTGAAGCACTGTCTCTCTCACTCTCCCCCTGCTTCTCTCAAATGCTCTCCTTCACTTCTCACCCTCTCCGATATGTTGCTTCTCCCTCTGCCTGTCATCCTCTCTAACATCTTTCCAGCTCTTGTATTTAACAGCTCTTTAAACAAAAAAAGCCTCATGTTGCTTATGGGGGTTTGAATAAATTGCCTAGAAGCAGCAAAATTCATATAAAGGCTTTGCCAAAGCGAGGTGACCGGAGCATTGCTTGTTGCTGTTGGCATTTGCTGGGCATCGACTGAACTTTCGGGAAGTGATGAAACAGCATAGCGTGTGTCACCAGGCAGTCATCAGACTGTACACAGGAGAACGGAAACGAGTACAGAGGAGAGAGGACTACACAGTGCGCTGTTCTGGGTCTCCTGACAGTGATGCACTACATGCATCACCCCATCCCCCTGTTGCTTGTTCTATCATTTTACGTGTCACCTGCTGTCTTCTACTTTCACACATAAATTCTTTCTCACTCATTGAAGTACTTTTTCTCTCAGATGCACAAACATAGTGTTACGCGGTGTTCAGGGAATCCCAAGCACAGAAGCAGACAGGAAAAAGGCTGCCTCGCTCTGGGACCTTTAAGTCCTGAGCCAAACATTAAGCCCTAGCACATATCTGTTGTCTGCTGACAAAACGCAGAAGATTACTGATTTAACCCAGCACCCTGCTCATGTCTTATTTGTGAATGTTAAATGAACTAACATCTGATATATTTTCTCCCTCTCCTTTTTCTTATTTTACAACCCTCCCTCCCCCTTCACACCTGTCCCCGACCCCCACCCCAGCCTGTGACTGCCACCCTGTGGGCGCAGCAGGCAAGACGTGCAACCAGACCACAGGCCAGTGCCCCTGCAAGGACGGTGTCACCGGGATCACCTGCAACCGCTGTGCCAAGGGCTACCAGCAGAGCCGCTCACCTGTGGCCCCCTGCATCAGTGAGTGACTCGCGCAGAAATGCACACACTACTACTACTGCATATGACACTGATAACTCACACTGTCTTCAGTCTGGAAATTTTATCAGCTTGTTAGTGAGTCACTAACACTGACAAGCTCCATTGTGAAGAACATAATATAATAAAAGGCATAATAGTTACAACAGAGTCATGAACTATATTATAAGCAGCACACGCTCAAACCATAGAAATTACAGAGCATAATTGAAAGCACACTTCCCTGTAGCCTAAAGTCATACTGGCCTTCTGACAGGCACACCCAACCTGATCTCTGCGCTGCATATATAGTACATGTGTTCTTTGGGTTTGCATGGCCACTGAAAATGCATTGATAATTTCATAGAGAACAGCCCGAAACATGTGTGCAAACAAGGGCCCAGATGTAACGTCAGGCTAAACTGAAACGTGATCTTTTTAAAAGTGCAATTCAGTCAAGAGCTGGTAGTGTGAGAACTCAAGACTTGGTTATTGTTGTTCCACTTGCTGTCAACGGTGTACAGTGTGTGTGTGTGCTCTACAGTGTGTGTGTGCTCTACTTGCTGTAGTTTGCATGTCGACTACATCAGGTTTTTAATTTCCTGTGACAAGCGTGTATGTATGCGTGTGGATTATGAAATTTGCCAGTGGCCCGGCACATGCAGGCATGTGTAATAGAGGACAACTTTCCATCTCACTGTGTGCCAGGCGGTACGGGCACACATTGCACAGTTCACAAGGCAACCTCCACCAGAGCAAACCGCGCCGCCCAGTGCCGTACCGAGCTCTGCCACACTGTGCCACATGCTGCCATGTTGTTTCTCTCACATGCAGCTCCGGAGCAGATGGCGGATAGGCAAGAAGGAGAAAACAACTGTGGTTATGGATGGCAGACCCCGCTCATTTGATTGCCACTGAACCGTCCAATGAGAACAAGAAGGACTGTGTATGCGTATTGAAGTACATGCGCACGTTTGGATCCATTATGAATAGCGTTAATGACAACTGTGTGTGTCAATATGGCCTCATAGTGGGCATCTTACCTCCTATTGAGGCTCGTGGTCCCCAAGACAGAAGACAAGCCCATTAAGCAACCAATTAGTATGATGGCAGCAACCTTCATCTGAATGATCCTTTCATCATCTGTCTGTCTTCACAAGATGTGGCCATGAGGGCACACGGACTCAAAGTGGCTTCTAGCAGCTGCGCCTGTCTTCACAAAGCTCTGTGCCCTTGTTTGTTTTTGTTGGCGGGGTGTCCATAATTTCAGAGAGACAACTGCTGCTTTTGCCTCAAAACAGCTTTCCAACACACCCCCTTACCTCCCGCCAACACACTCCCACTCACTTGGTTCAAACCCTCAACCCCCAAATCCAATCAAAAGCAGATCCTCTGGGTGGATGCTAAGCCAGTGTTCCAGTAACTCTGTTTACGGTAAAAGCAGAGGGCCCGTTGTTAGCATTAGCATTTGTATTGGAAAGTTGCATACGATTAGAAGAGAAGTCCTGGAGGAATTCCACGAGGCACTTTTTAGAGTAGCCAGCGGGCATAGTGAGGGAGGGCTACATCTGTCTCAAGACAAGCCAACCAAAATTGCCCCCTTGCCATCTGTCCATCTGGCTATAGTTGCTTGCATGGAGATTACACAGCAGTGTTAACCCAGCATCTGTTAGGGGAGGACAAGACTAATCTAGTGCAGTCACCTTACCATTTTAATCAGAGTGCCTCAAAGACTACTTCTTTCTCAGATGTATCAAGTGTGCCGACTTTGAATGAATTTGTGGTGCATCTACTGAATTTCAAAACTTAAATTTGGTCTCATGACCTCCATTATTTCTTCCACTTCCACTGTCTCAGGATCTTTCAATGTATTTCTTTAAAATGACAGTGAAACCACCTCATTAGTCCGTGGAATGCATGGTTTATTTAAGCCTGTCTTCCCTCTCAACACCAATAAGTATCCCTGTCAGTCTGTCAGTGTTTATCTAGCGTGTCTGTCTGCATTGCGTGTTTTCATGTGAACAGTTGACATATGTGACAATCCAAACCTACTGCAAGACAAACCCTGGTATTTTCTCTTTCTGGCCTTGGTCAGCAAAGGCAATAGTAATTTTACTCAAGCCAAATTTTATACTAATTTTACACTTATTCTGTTGTGGGTGTATTAATATATTCTCAAAACTTTCCCGCACCCACTCTTTCAAATTGCTTTTAATGAATTCAGACATGCTTCATTTCTTTGACCACACATGCACTCTCAGCAGGCATACAGCCAAATCACTTAGACCATACTTGAAAGATAGGGATTTACATTTAAACTGTGAAATAACTTTGTATTTCTTTGTGTGTGTTTCAGAAATCCCAGTGGTCAACCCCACAGCTGTGGTGAGCAGCACAGAGGAACCAGCAGGTTAGTATACGCTCTCTGCACCTCGCCCATAAGAACCACTGCTTTATGAGAGGAACAAAAACATATTTTTCAATATTTCTGGACTAGAGTTTTAAGGTGTGGAATAAATATTAATGAAGGGTGGGTCCCCTCTTTTGAAGTTCTGCAAAGAGAACGAGAGCACTGGGACCTGCAGAATTTTTCCATTGTCTTAAAAACCTGTGTCCTTGGCACAGTTTCCCCGGCTGCTAACCTCAAGTTAGTGGAGCCTTCCTGTGCTCAAAATAAAGCTGCAGCTTAAAGCCAAGGCCAGCAGATAGGCAGCAGAGGTGATTAGTTAAAGTTTAGCTGGGAGATATAATGGAAGGGAGAATTTTGAGGTGTGAAAAGAGTGTTGGCAAATGACTAGGGGGAAATTTGTTCAGTCTCTCCTTACAACTGTCCAATTTAGGCTCCGGTCAATTACCCTGCCCTTATTTTTCATTCTGCGGCTGTTTGATTTGCATGGTGGTGTTGATTTGGAAATGTTGATTCATTAGTGGGTTTATAATATATATCACCACTCAGGCTACAGATTGCATCGCTCACTTGACCTCCGATACTTTTCAAATTATTATTTTTATATACTTTCTCTTCTAAATATGACATATTTCATCAGAAAGCTTGCTGAAAATCACACTTTTGACTTACATTTTAAAAGTTAAATACAATTTTATGGTGTGAGTTGTAGGGTTAAAGATATCTATAATGGCTAATACTGACTTATGTCCTCATAATAAAATAGTTTGACATTTTGTGAAAATTCTTATTTGCTTTAAAAAGCTAACTGGTTAGCTTAGAAGATTGACTGGAAACAGGTCAAGAAATTGTATGTCACATAAACTCAGTTTTTTGTACCTATTTAACAAACAAGATTTAACAGATATGTTACCTTTGGACAGAGCCAGGCTCCAGCTGCATATTTACTGCACAGACATATCATTGAACTGAAGAGAGCACATATTTCCCAAAATGTGTATATGTTTTCTTTAAATAGATATTGATGATAATTTTTGTAGCATTTTTCACATTTGTGACTTCTCTCATTTTTTTTTCTCTCATTACTTGGGCCTCTGAGCCTTTTAAAAAAAGAAATAAAAAAAAACTCACGATCCAGCCCTTTTTTGTGTTTACTACTTCCCTGGGAAAATGTTACAGGGTCTAAGAACACAAGAGTTGTTGATCTCCAATTCACCTCAGGCTCTACCAGAGCATTTCCCCCATCTTTATCCTTCCTAAACTACCATAGAATGAGCTTTGCCATCAGAAACCTAAGGCCCCAAAATGTTTTTGTGTAAGGGGCGGTGGATGCAATTTGTCCTTGTCATGGCACAGTGAGAGGGGCTTGGGGGAACGAGGGCATCGAGAGCCCCGGAGCCAATTGTGAGTGTTTTCAGTGGGCCGGTCTTCTGGGTCAGTGGACGATTCACTGAGAGCTTTTCCAGGTGAACAGCCAGCAGTAAGTGACTCTTCATGGGAAAACACACACTGTCTCCCAGCCAGCGTTTCACCGCTGATACCTTTAGGCTAGCCACTGTATACCGCACACACAAGCACATACACACACTCATAGTGGCAGTGATCCAATGAAATCCATGCACATCTCATACAAATGCATGCCTGTCACAGTTGCATGCACACTTACATGATAATGATCTGCACATGAAACCACACGCTCACTTACAATGAAAAAGACCTTAAGCAAGCCATGATATTTAGCATCATTTATTTAAAGTCTGTGAGTAATGTAGAATACACACACATACACACAAATCCATCCACACGTACACCTCTGCGCCCGTCCACATCTACACCTCCACTTATCGTTTTCCTAAAGTCACCCTGTCTCGAGGTTATTGGAAGCTGCCATCTGCTCTCTCTTTCTCCCTTTCTTTCCTTTTCTCTCCTCTCTCTGGCTAATAAAATCTCCAGTGCTCTGATATACAGCCAAGCCTCCTGGACATTTTTATGGGCTCCTTGGTCCCCTGTTTCTTCCCTCCTTCCATTGCTCCATCCGTCCTTCGACAAAAAAATGAACGAATCAACACCCCTACTCTCATGCAATCCAGAAAAATGTAATTTCGTTCTCTCACGACGTTTTTTTTTTTTTTTTTCTAATTG